CTATATCCCCATGTCCTATGTTCAATCTCTGGGCCACTTCTGGTTTGAACAACACTTTGCCTAACAAAGATCCAGCAGCTTAGCAAAGAAGAGGGGGGCTCTGGAGGTACAAACCTTCTCAAAGAGGGTGCCATGCTGGCATAGACAGGGTGGGTGGGAGTTAATTAGCTTCGCACTCCTCCCTTGGGCCTCTCTGGCTGAGATCAAGGCGCTCACATGTTCAGAGGGCTCTGCAGAGAAGCCTGACTCTTGCTTTTTGCAAACACTCAAATTAGAACTGACAGGAAAACAGAGGCAAGATCAGGAGCTGCCCAGGGATGCTTACAGAGTTGCACTGCTCCCTTGGGAGCGCAAGGGGGGCACCTGCTGGCCACGGGGGGTGGGGGTGGGGAGCTGACCTGACAAGCAGCAATCAGGTCACAGAACATCACGAGGGTCATAATTGTGTCTGGCTTGCAAGGAGGCCATTTCTGTACAAGGGGACCCCCACCTTTAAAAAAGCAAATCAAGGCTGTTTTCCAGCATTACTTCCACCTGAGGGTTAAAGTTTCCTAAATTGGCAAAAATGCTTGCAGAAGGTCGGCGGTTCGAATCCCCGCGACGGGGTGAGCTCCCATTGCTCGGCCCCTGCTCCTGCCAACCTAGCAGTTTGAAAGCACGTCAAAGTGCAAGTAGATAAATAGGTACCGCTCCGGCGGGAAGGTAAACAGCGTTTCCATGCACTGCTCTGGTTTTGCCAGAAGTGGCTTAGTCATGCTGGCCACATGAACCGGAAGCTGTACGCCGGCTCCCTCGGCCAATAAAGCGAGATGAGCGCCGCAACCCCAGAGTCAGTCACGACTGGACCTAATGGTCAGGGGTCCCTTTACCTTTATGTTTTACAGTATGGTTGCTGCATGGTTGGAATTAGGGATGTTTCCAAACTTCTCCTCATGCAAATTCCGGTATTTCAGAATTACCTGATCCAGTTTCCAAAGAGGAACAGATGTGTTTGCAATTGTTTTCCGTTTTTATTTCCAAATGTGTGCAAAGCACTTTGTACACATTCTTTGGGCTTGAGAACCGCACTGCAAAATTCAGAGAAGTGTGAATTTCAAAGGGCGGCTGTGTTTTGCTGTTTAGGGATTGTTTCAGAAAGTTTTTGAGTTAGGTAGGCTTGCCTTTCAATGCAAAATGAATTGAATCCGTACCACTTCCATGCTGCAATCAATCCCTAGCCACCGGCACATGGTAATACAGTCAGAAGTTACAAAAAAAGCCCAAATCTGCTTCCCCTGGGCTTTTTGCTGGAAGCATAAAGCCATTTTTAAAAATTCATTTTGTGGGACTGCAGAGAAATTAAAAGGCACAGGGTGGATGCAGTTGAAAATGGGAAAGATGTAACAGGATGGAAATTACCAACAGAACCGACTGTTTTGCTTTGAGGGAAACCCTGTGATGTGAATCAGATTAAGAACTTCAAAATGACAGGTAAGATGTTGACTGTAGCCCAGTATCGGAAGGAAAGCAAATATATGGCAGAGGATTTTCATATATAAAACAAGCTGACAGCAACAGACTTTTTTGGGGCGGAGGGCAATCTAAATCAATCCAGGGCATTTAGGAATGCTGGCACAGCTTTATAAAGCCCCAGTAACAGAAATACCAATTATGAAAATGTTAAGCGGGAGGAATTAAAATGTAATTTAAGGACTTGAGAAAAACCAGACAATACCTTGTTTCGGTTTTTTGAATTGCCGATCACCAGGGACCGCTGAGTTGTTGTTTTAAAGCAAGGTTCATGACTGCATAACTTTTTGGATTTAAGTTATGATGATCTACAATTTAATGCATAGTTATACTTCATGTAAGAATGATTATTTGATTACTCAAATCAGCTCTTAAGACTACGATAATTATATTATGTCCTGGTTAATTTTATACACTGCCCTTGGCCCAAAAGGCACCCAAAGCAGTGAAAAATACAGTAAATCAATCGAAACCATTTCAAACAGCAAAGCCACCAAAATACCCACCGATTACACTGGATACACATTCATGAGCTGCCTCTGTGTTCCCACCAATATCAACCTAATAATGCAATCCTACTTCTGTCTGCTCAGAAGTAGGTCCTATTGAATTCAATGGGGCTTACTCCCAGGAAAGTCAGGTTAGGGACTGCAGCCTTAGACATGCTTCCTTAATACTGATTTTGCTGTGTACTTCCTTTGTGTGCCCATTTCCTTAGTTTTAATTAGACAATCCATCATACAGCTGTATTGTCTGGGGCCAATGTGCACTGTAGTCCAAAACATCTGGGGGGCACCCAGTTGGGGAAGGCTGGTCTATGCTCTCCCTTGCTTTTTTCCAGCGTCCTTAAATGCAGACAATTTAAAGCATACTAGGAGACTTCCAGGGTGGCGCCACCGGCAATGGCGGACTCCCTCTGAACTGAAAACGGGTCTTCTCCGCTACGGCGAAGCGGGGACCCACTTAAAAATCACAGGCGGATGAAGCCTGTGACCATGGGACTCGGCGGGCACCTTTAGCGCCCCCCCCAACCCGCTAAGGAACCCACTAACGGGCTCCAAAGTGAAGAGGGGGAAGTGGCGCGGTGCTGTGAGTCAACTGCTATTTCCGTGGAGCGAAGCCGCATAGCTGTTGCTGGAGAGCCCTGCCTTTTTCCTGGGACAATTTGGACTTTAAAATAAGCACCCGTGAGTACTTAGACTTTGAACAATTGGACATCAAATAAGGACTTGCGAGTAGGAAAGAATCGGACTTTAAAAAATTTACTTGAATTTGGTACAGAACGGGAAGGTCTAAACAGGAAGTCATCCTTCCGTTCTTCTGTAAACAGAATAAAGCAAAGGCAATTTAAACTAGAGCTCAGGAAATCGCCTTTAAAAGATTGGATTTCACCATTTACAATTGTGGAACCCCCCTTCGACAGCAGGAGAAGGGGGGGGGTCTTTTTGGACTGTTTAAAGTGACTTTAAAGTGAAGTAACTTTCCTCCGTCCTGATCCTGGAGCGGGCTGTCAGGACTGACGTGTGAAGTTCATTAACCAAAGACAAGTGTTTTTGACAGATGGCTAAAAGAAGAGAAACCTAGTGATTCCACTGTTCCCTTTCGCATTTTAAAGGATTATATATGGACAAAGTATCTTAAAAAGGAAACTTTGTTGCAAGAATAAATAGAAGTCTTCCCCCTAGGGGGAGTCTGTGAAATTGTAACTGTGAAACTGTAACTAACTCCAGGGAGTCGACAGCTGTTACAGATTACAACCGTGGGAACAAGTATCTGACCTTGTAGGACAATGTATTCAGAAGCCTTGTTGTATGCTCTCTATAAAACAAACGATCTACTGGAACAATTACACGAGAAGGTGAATTGGATGGCGACTTCGACTAGAAATTTTGAACAGGCAGTGGAAACCTTTGAACAGACAGTGGGAAAATATGTGAAGCCCACTCAGGATTTAAATCAGGAGTGTGTCTTGACAGAACAGGAGTTTTTGACATTAAATCAGGAGTGTGTTTTGACAGAACAGGCCCAACAGGAATATGAATTTTTGGATTTGACAAATGAACTTGGAAAAAGCCATATCTGGAAAGGAAAAGTTTGGCTTGGTTTGGAAATGGGGGGCTGGATTGACCCCCCTATGCTGGGATGTTTGGACTTTTCAAATATGGCAACGGGCCGTGAGATGTTTGGGACTGTGGGGGCTCTCAATTTTGGAGGGCCTTTGAAACATGCTTTTAAATACTACATGGAATTCATTGTTGAACATGGAAAAGGGGCTGATCTGTTGAGAAGGGTTAAAAACATTGTCAAGCTGGAGTTACCACGAGCAGGAGACAAGGGAAAATACAGTTACAAATATGAAGAAGAGCCGCGGAAGGGTCATGGAAGAGACTTGAGGGCCTCGGACATAAGGTTGCCAGGTTAATGGCCCAAATTGACAGGAATAAGGACTGACAAAACCCGGAACCAGGAGGAAGGGACGCTGGATGAAGATTGGATCTGTTTATACCTCTTTTTTCTACCATTAGAACTGTTTTATAAAATTGATGAATGATAGGAAAATGTTGGAATGAAATTACTTGGCTTTAGCAAAGATGTTTAAAGAATTATGAAAGAATATTATGATTATGAGAAGTTGGTAAGGATAAGATTTAAGTTTTAAGTTTTAAGGTTTATTTTATTATAGAAAGATAAGGTCAAGGATTTGCTGGGATAATTAATAACTAGGATACAAAGAAAGGGAGGAGGAGGAGGTCTAAGAAAGAAGGTAATGACAGTTAAGGATTTGAAAATAATGAATTTGTTTTTAAATGTTTTTAAAGTTTTGTGATTTTTGCATTCTTCTTTTTTTCTGTCATTTTTTCTCATTTGGAATTTTTTTGTATATGGTGGGAAGGGGTTGGTTTTTTTTCTTTCTTTCTTTTTCTATTTTGTCAATTATTTTTTTTCCTTTGTACTCTCTTCTGCTTCTATTTTTTCTCTTTTTCGTAACATTTTGAAAATTTCAATAAATATCTCTTAAAAAAAATAAAATAAAGCATACTAGAACCCAGGTAGGAAATGCTACAATTTGCAAGATTCAAATGATAAGTGGGGCATTCATAAGGTTTGGGAAATGCTACCCTCCACACACCCCTAAATACATTTTTACAGTGTGAAATCTCTAGCCAAACTTCTTGTTTCAATAAACAAAAGGCAGAGACAGCAGTGCTTCTGAATACTGGTTGCTGGAAACCACAGGAGGAAAGGGGACTCTTGTGTTCAGCTCCTGCTTGCTGGCTTCTTCCCACTGCGGCATCTGGCTGGTCCCTGTGAGAACAGGATGCTGGACAAGATGGGCCATTGGCCTGATCCATCAGACTCTTCTTATGCTTTCTGCTGCAAGGACACAGGAACACCAGAAGAGGGCTTCTACCAAGTCAGACCATTGGCGGTCCCATCTAGCTTAGTACTGTCTCCAAGGTTTCATGCCAAGAGTCTCTCCCAGCCATTCATGGAGATGCCAGCGGGGACTGAACCTGTGAGCTTCTGCATGCAAGGCAGGTGCTCTTCCCCTGAGCTACGTGGGTCCTTCCTCCCAAAGGACCTTGCACTCTAAATGTAGATATTGAGCAACGGAGGAGGAGGCGGCATCCATGAGAGGGGAGGAGGGAGAGGGGGCACCATGTTGGTGCTCTCAGTGAGGCAGATATGAGCAAAAGGGACAGCAAAGGAGAAGAGCTGGGATTCATTTTGAAAAGGCCCTTTCGGAAATTAGGTCTGCACGGATTCCTTCATCAGTTTTAAAGTTAGGCACAAATAGAAGGTTAGGCCTCGAGGAGAGTGTCCCATCCAATAACAGCTCCAGCGAGCCCCAGAATTGCCGCAACCATTTCCCTCTCCTTTCTCAGAGAGATGCCAGATTGGGCAACTCAAAGGGAGCTATATTTATCCCCTCTGCTATGATCCAGGCACTAGGAAGATCCTGCTCTCATCCATGCTCTGAAGGTAGGTGTCGGACCCAATTTTGTTTGCCTGAAAAGAGTGACATAATTTGCCGCAATAGGATCAAAAATGTCACCCCAATCTCAGCTGAAGAGCGGCAACTCTGCCGTCTTCCACAGAGCCTGTTTTCCCTGAGCCTCCTGGCTGCATCAGGCCGGCTGGCCGCTTATCCGCCCTGGCACTGTGTTCAAGGAGCCACAGATTTGCCATCTCCTAAAGGCGCCACTCGATGCCATCATCCAGCCCTGGGCCTTCTGAAATCCAGCCCCCTCCTCCATCCAACCCACGATGTATGTAATGCTGTACCTCACAGGTCACTGGCCCATATCAGGGGGGTCTCATGGCTCCCACCAATTTTCCTGAGACAGGAGAAGAGTCAGCAGAGCCGCTGGAGAGGAAGTGAAGGTGGCACACCTGCGAGTCTGCCTTGAGATGGCAGGGCCCATTTTGAGAAATTAATGGCAAATCTAAGCAACTCGGCCACAAGAGCTTTGGGAAATCCAAAGGGGTACTAAGGGGGACCATGTTAGGAAGAAGACATAGAAATCTCAATGGCTTCCACTCACAAAGGAGCAAGTGGCAGGTGAGGTGTCAGCTCAGCCCAGCTGCAGAAGCTATGTTCTTTGCCACAATCAAATTTCACCCTCATTTGGAGCCAATCTGAGAACGTCTTCGTGCTGGGTGAAACTGCATACTCTCTAACGTTAGGCAGGAAGCCTGAAGCCCATGGCAGGTCTTGAACTGGCAGCCTCAGGGACTGACGAAAGGAACATTCTGTGAATCAGTGGAGGCTAGTTCATGAGGGCTAACGACTCACTGCCACACCATAAAAACCTACATCTCCTCTGTTGTGTCATGGTCAGTGACTACTGAAGCTAACTGGGCCCCTTTAAATGAAGAGGCTTCTCCCACCAAAGGCAGAGCCAGCTATTGAGACAATGCTGCTGCTACAATATAAGGCACAGTCTGAGGCTGGCTAGTGCTGAAGCAACATCTGAGCTCTCCTATCAGGAAGTCTCTAGTTTGAATGAGTCATGGAGCTGTCCAGGGTACCACTGAATCCTCACATCAGTACAGTTGAGGCTCAAATTCAAAACAGCACAGGGTCCAGTGTAGGAAATGCTGCAACAGACATCATTCTAATAGCAAGGTGGCAGAACTAACTAGAAATGTGAATCATGTATGTGGATCCTGGTGACTTAAGACGCCCACCCACTGCATGCATTGAAAGAATTGTTTGAGGAGAGTTTTGGAGGTATGTGAGCAAGTGCCACCACAATATCTCCCTGCATGATCTGCTTTTAAAACAGTGCTTTGCTTCAATATCCCAATGATCTTGGTTGGGGGGGGGTTAGGTTGTATTTTATATTGCTTTTTAAATTCTATTTTCAATCTTATTCTCTACTTCAGTTTACTTTTTTGGTGAAAGCATCTCCTTTTCTAGAAACACGGGCTATACATTTGTAAATTAATAATGCACAACTAGGCTGCATGTTTAACTTGTTTTTATAGCGCTGTTTCTGGTTTTATGTTTTTATCTCTGTTTTTATGATACATTCATTCATTCATTGTCTACTCTAAGGTCCCTGGGTGGGTTACAGAATTGAAACACAATATTAAAAACAGTTTTAAACAACTTAACAATTGCAGAAATAAGGTGGGCCTGGAAAATGTACCCCCCCCCAAGTGTCAAAAGCCAGGGTCGAGAGGTGCATAGTCAGCATTCTCTAGAAGCTATACAGTGAAAATGCCAGAAAGTCTCCATGGGGTAGGGCATTCCACAGCTTAGGGGCCACCACAGAGAAGGCCCTCTCCTGGGCTACTGCCACCCACTGCCTCAGAGTGGAGGGACAACCAAGAAGGCCCATTCTGCCAATTTTCAAAATAAAAATTAAAAAATCAAGCTGTTTAAAAAGGTGTTTGAATAAATGCTAGAATTCTGAGCAGACTTGTGGATTGGCTTTGTGTTCTGTTCTTGGGAGCAGTGGTGGGATTTCAGCTCAGCTGAGAGCACCACCTCCATTGACCCTTTGGGCCGAAAGGGCTCACCTGGGCTTCAAATGGCCCTAGCCATCAAGGAGAAGGAGAAACAGAAAGCAGTTCAGACCATCATTTCCCATCCAAAGCAATTCCTTGGCAGGAAGCATATTGCAGCAACAATACATTATGATAAGTGCTTTTGTGCTACATGAATAGGACAGCTGTGGCTCTTCCTCAGTGGGCCCGTTTCACGGATAACAACAGCACAGACCGTGTCGAGGAAGGAACCAGGAAGAGAGGCTGGTGTTTGTCTGCTTAATGACGCAAGTGCTGTTTTGTCAGCTCTACCTGGCTGCAACATCCCACCTTCTGTTGAAGAAAAGGGGGGGCTGTTGCCCAACTGGTGTTTTTCTGTAGGTATAAAAGAGTTCAGATCCAGCCTGTAAAAACCCACATGCTAATGTTTACAAACACACCTAGGAGTCCCTCCTCTTATTCTCTGTGGTTCAAGGTACAGTATGATGGCATCTTATGGAATGGGTTTTGTTCCAAGGGTTTTGCATGTACGTGAATATGGTGCAGACCCAAAGCCTTAGAGCCGTTCCACAGCTAGCAGGTGAAGAGGGCAGAGAGAATCCCCAGCACCCAGAGAACCCATGCTCTGTGCAGGCCTTGTCTGCCTCTCCCCTGCCCCGCCCCCAAGCCCAGCAAGATGAAGAGCTTAAAAGCTTTTCGTGCCAGGTCTGCTTGGGTTACTTTGTTGGGAAAGAGCTTGGTCCAACTAGTTCAGTGTAGTCTACCCTGACTGGCAGCAGCTGCCCAGGATTTCATGCATGGCCTTTCTCCCAACCCTACCTGGAGATGCCAGGGATTTAACCTTCTGCTTGCAAGACAGATGATGTACCCTTGAGCCATGGCCCTTCCCCAATTATGAGCTATGGTTCATCTCACCAGTGCTGGCCTTGTACCTCCCTTGTGAAAATGATTTTTGGGAAACACATCATTTCACCGTTAGTACAAAGAGCTGGCGAACCCAAGCCAAGGCTCCTACATGGCAGTCAATTAACGCACCAGTATCTGTTCCAGGCTAAGATGCTTCAGTGACCTTGCTAATTTAACATCTCTCCACCCAGCAGAGTTCAACTTCTGGGTCTCTGGAAAGGCAGCAGCATTTGCCTGGAGGAGAAACCCCATGGAATGTCTGCCTCTTGCTCCCAGGAAACTCAGCGGTGGCCTGCCCTGGATTTTGTACGTGTGTGTGTGTGTGTGTGTGTGAGAGAGAGAGAGAGAGAGAGAGAAATACTTAGGAAGATGATTTAAAGTGCTAATTACCCTACAAACACCACTCCAAAGAATAATTAGAGCAAATTGAACTGGTGGGAAGAGGGCACAGGAGACTGGGAGAGGGAAATGTGGCTTGTGGTATTTCACATGCTATTGATCAGCCAGAGTGGAGAGCAGAGCAGCTCAGAGAGGGAAGGAAAAGGGCACCTCTAGGTCTCAAGTCAGTCACTTGCACCTGTTTTTGCCAACTTCTGCAACCCAGGCTCCTCAGTGTCAATCAGCCTGCCCCAGCCAGATGCTGAGTTTAAGCTGCTGGATTGGGGCAGTGGACCACCTAATCCCCACAGCCCACTTCTCACACTGGCCACACAGATGCCTCTTCTGGGAAGCCCACCAGCAACTTCAGAGGCGTTTACTGCCTCCAGCAGTGGAAAAAAGAACAGACATAAAATCAGACCATTTAGTCTGATTGGCCCAATGGGCCATTTAGTCCAGCATTCTTTTCTCACAGTAGCCAGCCTGTGGGAAACCCGCAAGCAGGATTTGAGCCCAAGTGCCCTCTCCCCTCCTGCAACTTCCAGTAACTGGCATTCAGAAGCATTGCTGCCTCCAGCAAGGCAGAGGCATAGTCTTCTTTCCCCTAGTTGCTGATAGCTTTATCATCCTCCATGAATTTGTCCAATCCTCTTTTAAAGTCATCCATGTTGGTGGTCACCACTGCCTCCTGTGGGAGGGAGTTCCGCAGTTTAACTATGCTCTGCATGAACCTTCCTACAAGACATTGAGGCCAGTAGCCATTCCATGAATTTGTCTATTCAGGGAAGGTGACAAACCTGGACAGCCACACTTCGGCATTTGGATGCTTCCTAATAATGGAGGGAACTGAAAAATCAACACCAGAGAAAATGGCTTGTGTGGAAACAGCTGAAGGGAACATCACAAGTCTTGGAGAGGCCACATCAGAGGAAATATGCCAAGCAAATACCTACTCCCTCCAGGGGCCCCAGACCACTGCTTTTCTTAATTTATTTTACTTACTCCATTTCTATACCTCTTCCTTCCACAAAGTAAACATCTCCCCTTCTCCATCTTATTCTCAGAATAACCTTGTGAGGTAGGCTATGCTGAGTGGCTAACCTAAGATCACACACAAAGCTTCATGGCCAAGTGGGGATTTGAACCCTGGTCTCCTAGGTTCTAGTCTAACACCCTAACCACTGCAACACACAGGCTTCTAGACAGCAAAGGAAAAGTCTGGGTCTCAAATCATCATCAGTAATATTTATACGCTGCTTAATATGCAAAATCCCTGGCGGTTTACAC